AGTATAGAAGTGAAGAAAGTATACCTGTATTCCGAGTCATATGATTTGTGGCACCGGAATCTATAACCCAATTATGTGATGCGGTAGAAAGACACGCTATAGAATTTCCTGTGTTGGCTAAAGTGAAAGTGGAAGTAGAAGTGGAAGGTGTAAGAGGCTGTTGAGAAGCGTAAAACTGTGTAAGTTAGGCATATTCATCTGTTGAAATTGTAACTTGAGGCTGAGTAGAAGACATAGGTAAAAGACCATCCCGAGCAGCAACATTTGCAAACTTTCTCATGGGAGTCTGACTTGTGTTCTTTGCAGGTTTACCATTCAATTTCCAACAGTTCCTACTAATATGTCCTTGCTCTCCACAATAATAACAACCACGAGAACCACCGCTAGAAATGTTATCTCGACTACCTCCTCCTTTATTGTAATTTAATTTTGAATTTGTGCCAACCAGAGCTATCGTCTCATTTAGTACTATACCTTGATCCTTGTCATTGTCCTTGCATACTCGAAGTAGACGGGCATATATATCACTCAATGAAGATAGTGCTTCACTGGTAAGTAACTGAGTATGAGCCACCTCATATTCAGGACCCAATCTTACGAGAAAACACTGGACCACAATCTGCTCTTCTTATTCTTGCATCTTCTTCACATCATTAGTAATAGGAAACATGGTTCGCTTTTTTTCAAATGCTTGTTTTACTTCAGTATAATATTAAAATAGATTTTGCCCCTTTTGTTCAGCCCGATAAATTTTCAGCATTAGTTCATGAATATGCGATACTTCATGTTTACTTGCATACATAAACTCTAGATAGTCCCACAGTTCTTTTACAGTATCACAATGATTAATAACATCATCAACTGTTGGGTCGAGAGTATTTTGAATCTGATTAAAAAGCTTGTCATCCTCCATCAACCATTTTTTTCAAATCCTAGGATTAGTATCAGAATGTAGAGGTGGATTATCAGTCAAGTGATCGCCCAAATATAAACTTTCTCTTCCATTGAGCAAAATCACCGACTGCACCCAACCCAAAATCGGTCGACTCCACTCGACACACTACCTGAAGGAGTGACGATAAAGGAGAAGACAGATGAGAATGAAGAAAGTCTCTCACTCACGACCTCCGAGCTGACCACCGTAAGCATCTACAGCTTGAGGCGCCGATAGTTACACTGGAGAAGACCCAAATGAACCCAAGTCAACACACAGTGACCCTAATCGATCCACACAATCAGTTGTAGTTCGTCACTATAGAAGGTCTCCCGATCTTCAACCACCAAGAAGTAGTCCAGATGAGTACTACCACCGAAAATAGTCACACAAATTTTCGAAAAAAAAAACTCACAAACCCTAATTTCAAGGCTCTGATACCATGTTGATTTTGGAAGAATATTTCTCTCATTTCATAAACATCTGATATATATATATATATAGGGAATGTTTCTCATAAGGAAACTACCCTATCAAAATATGCACCTACCATATATACATGTGTCCTATATGTAATGAATAATCATAAGCCTAATTTGATGCATGATTTCATAACAGTTTGCAAGGAAAATAATAATCTTGATTTTGTGCATATTATGTAATACTTCCTCTCAAGTTGGAGCATGGAGGTTCGTAATATCCTACTTGGATCGAAAGAAAACAAATAGTTCACGTCCTAAGGGCTTAGGAAAAATATCAGCTTGTTTTTGAGAGGTCGGGATGTTTGAGTTAGTGAGTAGACCAGATTGAATCTTTTCGCGAACCAAGTGGCAATCCAATTCAATATGTTTAGTGTGTTCATCAAAAATCGCATTTCGAGTAATGTGAATAGTAGCCTGGTTGTCATAGTAAAGAACGACAGGTTGAAAGTGGGACACATTGAGGTCGTGCAAAATGAGACGAATCCAAACAAGCTTACAAGTGGTGGTGGCCATGGCACGATATTTAGCCTCAGCTGAAGAGTGGGGAGGGGGGGGGGAGACAGTAGATTGCTTTTTTGTGCACCAAGAAAGTGGACTGTCACCTAACTTGATGACATAGCTAGTGGTGGATTAGCATGTAAATGGACAACTAGCCCAATCAGAGTAACAAAAAGCAGAGAGCTAAAGGCTCCATGTGGATGAGAAGAAGAGACCACAGCTAGAAGTGGTCTTCAAGTAGCAGAGGATACGAAGAGCTGTAAGATGATAAGGTGCACAAGGAGCATACAAGAATTGACTGAGAACATTGATGATGAATGTGAGATCTGGTCGAGAAATGGTCAAATACATCAAATTGACCTTAATCTTCTATATGGACTAGGATCGGGCAAAAAATTAACAATCGAGTTATTAAGCTTTAAATGTTGCTCCATAAAGAAGTAGGCAGGGCTAGATCCTAGTTGACCAGAGTCTGAGAGAATATCCAAAGTATATTTTCGCTGATTGATGAAGATGCCAATAGGAGAACGAGCAACTTCAATTCCAAGAAAATACTTGAGATCAATGAGGTCTTTAATCTTAAATGTTTGAGCAAGATGAGATTTGATGGAAATGATGGCAAATAGATCATTCCCAGCCACCAAAATGTCATCGACATATATAAGAATAACTGTGAAAATTGTGCCTTGGGTTTTGGTGAAGAGAATATGATCAGTGCAAGATTTGCCAAAACTTGCAAGAGTGAGAGTGTGAGATAATTTCGAGTACCATTGTCGATATGTCTGTTTGAGACCATAGAGAGACTTGTGAGTCGACATACGCACGTCTCTCCCTAACAACAATACCCTGGTGGGGGTCTCATGTATACTTCCTCATTAAGAATGCCATGGAGGAAACCATTATGAACATCCAACTGGTGTATGATCCAATATTTAGCTGCAACTATAGCAAGAAGCAACAAACAATGACAAGTTTAGCTATAGATGCAAAAGTATCATGATAATCAAGACCCTCTATTCGAGTGAAACCCTCGACAATTAAACAAGCCTTATGGCGTTCGATGGAACCATCTACATGCAATTTTATTTTGTATAGCTATTTGCATCCAATAGCCTTCTTACTAGGAGGGAGGGCTTCAAGGGTCCATGTTTGGTTAGCCTCCAAGGCTTGACTTTTAGAGGTCATTGCTTGTCGCCAATGGGGCTCAAGGACAACATGAGAAAATGAAAGAGGATCCTGATGTTTTTCAAGATAGAAGATAGAAAAGCAAAATGTTTGGGGCTAAAGAAATGATAAGAGAGAAAATTAGGTAAAAAAAATGAACCGTACCTCAGAAAGACAGAGAAGAAGGTGGCGAATGTGTAGTCTCTGCTAGTAAGTCTAAGCAAATGTAATCCTGAAGGTATGTGGAGCGAGTAATGGTGCGGCGAGGTCTTTGTAATAAGGATGTGGGTAGGAGGGTGTCTAAGAGATCTTCCGAGGAATCTGCAGGAAGTGCAGAATTGGGGGATAGGAATGGATTGAGTGGTGCTGTGGCGGGAAGGGTTGATGTTTGGGGAATGGAGTCAGAACTTGGTTCGATGTTAGTTGATGGGGAAGGAGAGTGCATATCGAGGAAGCATTGGTCGTGAAGTAAAGAAGGAGATGGTGATCTTCTAGAGGGTGATGTGATAGTAGCAAAAGGGAAAACAGATTCCACGAAGCGTACATCACGAGAGAGAAAAATAGTTTTTGTGGGGTTTGAGTATAGTCGATAAAGATGTAAGGTGTGGCGCGGGGTGAGAATTTATCACGATGGATTTTTAAAGCGTGTGCATAATAAAGGCATCCAAATATGCGAAGATGATCATATGTTGGGCCCTTTCGAAAAAGGAGATCATAAGAAGTTTTGTGGTGGAGAGAGGAGTATGGGGTGAGATTGATTAAATAAGTGGTAGTGAGTATGCATTCGCCCCAAAAGAAAATAGGTAAATGGGCATGAAATTGAAGACATCGAGCCACATTTAAGAGATGGCGACGTTTTCGTTTAGCAAAACCATTTTGTTGTGGTGTTTTAACATAAGTTTGTTCATGAATGATGCCAAGATCAAGAAAAAATGTTTGCATGCAACGAGAAAGAAATTCTTGACCATTATTAGAACAAACATGTTTGACAGAGCAATTAAAATGTGTGTTGACATTTTAATAAAGGTGGTAAGACAAGAAAATGTGTTAGATTTAAAGCGCATTAAGTATACCCAAGTAACACAAGAAAAATGTCAACAATAGTGAGGAAATATGTGCACCAGATGTAGATGGTGTAGAATAGCCACCCCAAATATCACAATAAACATGATGAAATATAGAATCACTTGTGTTCTCAACTAATTTACAGGAAGTACGAGTATGTTTGCCTCGAATGACATAAAAATTTTGGAATGGAAAGGGTGGCCTAGGCGGAGATGCCATAAGGTTGAGGTATAATTAGCCTTGAAGTCAATTTGTAGTGCAACTGGTGTAGAGGCCACCATGTTCTTTACCCATTCCAATTAGCCTCCTCGTGTATTGGTCCTGAAAAAAACAATGAGAGGAAGAAAAAAATGCAATGCAATTGGATGTTTTAATGAACTGGCTAGTAGAGATTAAATTATAATTAAAAAAATGCAATGCAATTTCTTGAAATTGGTGAAGTGGAAGATGTCTTCTTTTATTAAGAGGTTAATGGTCTCAAATTTACTCTATAGTAGATTATAGCACATCGCTTGGGTCATGAAAGGTCAACCTCTACATTGCACCTCAACCGAGATGATGTATCACTTCAGCTATCTCAACGTGTGGCTTCGACTAGGTTAGATAGGATAGTGATGTGGAGTGTGGACTTAACTAAATTTGCTAGGTGGCTGCCTCATGGTCGAAGCTTGAAGCCTCTTCAGAAGAGGCATAACATGTTTTAACCATTTTCGAGTTTTTGTAATAATAAACCCGTTAAACTATAGTCACGTACAACATAGTCTGGTCATCAAAGTCTAGTCACAATCTCTAGTATACGCATTGTCATACCTATAACACAAACTATATGAGCGACTCCTTAGCAAGTATGAATATACATGAGCATGCATATGATTACTATCTTTCTCAATATCTTTAACTTTTCTTCTTTTTATCTTTTGAGCCCTAATTCCCTCTACAATGTACCATATGAGCTCAATATCAATACGGACAATAACAAATGCGTTATGGCCAGTGTTTGTGGATCTGTCCTAGTGGCTATAACAACTCGAATTACACAATGTGTCCTTCCTAGTCACTACAACAACTCAGGATTCCACATTGTTTCCATCCTAATCGCTTCAACAACTCAGGAAACTTCAACATCATATAAATCACCAAATAACTCTGATCTCAGTATACAGTACTCACTAGTTCCAATTCATAGTGATGGGACCACTGTGAGACTTCGTGAGAGTGTCCTTATAAGAGTATCTACCACTATCCATAATATGAATTCTATTTGTCTCTTAGAGATAAGCTTGTTTCCATTTTCATACAAATTAAGAAATGTAATTAATATAGCTAAAAATATAAATTTTACTTGCACTTTTTCTCATACACTCTTATATTAAATAATGGTTTAAATAGGAGTAATTCATATTTAATGATAATAAGGCACATTAAATGGGAGCCTATTAGAAAATTAAAAAAATTAGCTATGCTCTCTACAAAGAAGTGAACTATAATTTGGAACAAACGAAAAAATAAAACAAACATATGTTTTTGGGATGAAGGGAGTATATCTTTGTGGACGCCGAATATATGGTACACGTACATATAGAGTGATTCCATTAAATTCATTGCTATCATCTCATTCCGAAATTTCTTTCATTTATTGACAATCATATCTCTTTATTCTCTTGATCTCTTACATGAAGGATAACTTCTTTCATGTTCACACACATGACATGCACGTGCACATGAGAGACATTGTACATCTCATACATGGCATATGATTCATAGTGACATGTAACAATATTCGGGTGGAATAGTAGAGACAGAGGCACATTAACGCTCCGCATATTCATAAACACTCAGTTTCTTTGCTGTCTCCGGATATCAATAGCCTCTGCTCTCGGGGGACTTCCTCTTTCTCACTCTATATCACTTTTCTCTCTTTATATATATATATTTGTATGTATGCATGTATCTCTTCATGAGATAAGAATCTTCCTGTTCTTTCGCAGCGCCTTCTTTGCACCATCTTCATCTAAGTAAGCTAAAAGATTGCCACTTCAACGAGGTCCCTTTCTGTTATTTGTCCATAAAATAAATGACACGGAAGGAAGATACTATTAAGAAAACTTCAGCACATCACTGATAATTCTCCGTCTCTTAGGGGAGAAGGGCCACAAAAAATCTCAAAAAACAGCGCAAAAAAAGTCTTCCTTTTTCGAGATCCAAACTTGGTTTCAACTCTTTTGTCAAAAATCACCACCCAAAAGAAAAAATATATTTGACCCCAGAAATCGAGGCACGTAAATTTTAAAGAAGAAGAGGATTCCAGCCAGCTCTTTATAC